ATATTTCACAACATGATAATTGGCACGCCTATTTTCAATTGCAGTACATGCGGTGGCATCCCTGGCAGATCGAGTGAATTCAAAAATTCTGTTGGATAATCAACCGCTTCATCTGCTTCCACAACAGTGTCAACAGACTTGTATGTGACTACCTCGCATTGAATGTTAGACTGAGTGATATTGTTAAGTTCGTAGACGTCTTTGTTCTTGGCCGCAAGAATAGCTCGTTCACTCAGCCAATCGTGAGTCTTATAATTGGTTTGAATATTGGGAAATACTTTTTGAACCAATTCTTCTTTTGACGTCACTAAATTGCAGAAGTTATGAGGCAATGAAATTCGTCCTGAGGTCAGATCAACTGGCAACTTTCCATTCCCAATTTCCAGCAATTGATGTGAGAATATCTCAGCTGATCGATTGTTTTGCAGCTATTCATGCATATTTGTAGTTCATTTTAACGTCTTTACATGTCGCCACAGAGTAGAGTATTTCAGGCCTGCATTTATTTCGTCCACTGGTGTCAATCGAGGAATTACAGGTAATGTTTGCCTGAAATCTCCTGCAAGCAATATTAATGCGTTCCCAAATGGTCTGATGTTTCCATGCAAATCTTGCAATGATCAATGAAGAGCCTAGAGCGATTTTTTGTGCGCCAGTGTGCATTCATCCCAAACAATAAGTTTGCATTTCTGCAATACCTTTCCCATGCCTGATGCTTTGGAAATGTTGCACATGGGAGTTTCAATGAATTGCATGTTCAATGGCAATTTCAAAGCGGAATGAGCAGTTCTTCCACCTGGTAGCAATGTCGCAGCTATTCCGGACGGCGCAAGAGCTAAGGCTATGTCATTTTGGGATCGAATTGCTGCCAGAATCAATCTAATTAGGAACGTTTTACCACTTCCTCCTGGCGCATCTAAGAAGAAGATTTCTGCAACCCCGTTATTGACAGTTTGCAATATTTGATTGTAAATGCCTTTTTGCTCAAGCCTTAGCCTAGGAATATTTGATTGCGCATACAGCAAAAGATCACCCGTGTTGTGATTTTGTTCACGACGCAATTCTACATTGAACGAAGCAGCAGCAGATCGATTGGGTGATGGCATTCCCAATTGTTTGAGAACTTTGTTCGCGATTTGTAAGCACAAATCTTCAGTCATTATCAACGCCTCATTGCAGATTTCTGCTGTGAAACCCATGTTCATATTGGAATTTTCCTTCATGCAAATCCTTATCGATGTCGGCATCGGGTATTTCAGCGCATATTACATCGTCAATTTCGTTTGAAGTGATTTTGTTATAGAGCCAGATTAGTATATGTGCGTGTGGCAGTCCTCTTTTTTGCCATTCCACTGAGGACATCCAGCAGCGCACAGACCTAAACACTTCATGTTTTACCATGAAATCCATCAGCGATTTCAGCTTCTGTCTGAAAACACGTGCTGTGATGTCATGCCTATCCACCGGTGATTGCCCAGGAAGTAGGAGCTGTTGTATCCAAGCTGGATTGCATGTGAATGTAATGAATAGGTCTGGATGCCCATCGTGACGAACATACGCAATTGCATCTTGAGCGTACTCATGCATATGACGTGGACTGCCTGTATATGAAGATGGCAAAATGGTTAGTCTTCCAACGTTAGTTGTATTACCCTCATTTACAACTGCATCTCGCAATACCAGACTAACTTCTTCGGCGGTTAATTTCAGACTGACTGCTCCTTGTCGAAGCTGGGCTATTTATACCTCGGCAGTTAGTATACAATGCCTTCTGTTGTCTGTCACCGGGGAAATGCTGCTTTGTTGATTCCACAATTCCTACGCGACGACCCATTGTTATTGCATTGTCTCTGTGGGAACGCTCCTTGTATTCGTCGTAACCGTGGAGATTCGATGTTCTCGACACAGTGGCTCACTGTTGGGATTACAGTATCGCTATTGTTACTTCCTAGGCAACGGCCAACTGCTGGGGCTACAATACCACTATTGTCGCTACCAATGCAACGGTCTGTTCTAGCATTACTATGGAAGTGACTCCTGGATTCCGAACATGTGACATGTTTTTACCTGTCACAGGTGTGACATCTATATAATAGGTATATAAAAACGCGCGTATTCGAATGCAACGTTGTGTCAAAATTTCAAAGCAATCGGTGAAGAACTTTCGAGGATTTAAGACTTTGAATAAATGAACATTTACATTTTTATTTATATAGATATAACTTAATGGAGAGCTTATATACGGTGCACTGAGTTTAGTGATCCTCGGAGATATTTGATCATATCTGCAAAAATCTTTAGTTTTAAAAGCTTTAATTATTTTTTCAATTTCTTTAGGTGTGGATGGTTCATTGTGAATTTTTGGGTAATTATTTTAAATTGCCTGATTCATATATGGTAAAAATTCTGTAGCCAGAATATTGCTATGCTTACCATTATCTGTTTTAATTAATTTGTTACCAATAGAAATGAAGTAGTCATTAATTTGTTCAGCAGCATTTTGATTCTTGCATTTCTTAATTAGATCCTGAAAGTTGTTTCATTTAGAGATTCTGCCCGTTTCTGAATTAATTATTTTCCAAGTAGAATTAAGTTTATTGTGGGATTTCCTAATATAGCTGTCATAAGCTTTTTTTTTTTTTTGGCTAAAACAATGACCTTGTTAAAAATTTTACAATACTTGGAATAGTAATCTTTTAGAGCTAAATTCCCTTCCTTTTTTAGTCTTAAATATGTTTGTTTTTGTTGTTGTTGTTCACAAGAGAGACTGATACCAGTGGTAATCCAGTTGATATTTCCACTTTTTGTTATCTTTTGTTTATGAATCATAGGGAAACAAGAATAGAAAATTCTCAAGTAGGTGTTCAAGAAGACATTAAATATATAATTCACGTTACTACCTCCAAAGACTTCATCCAAATTTACATAGCTTAACTGATTTTAAAAATCAGCAACAGTAAATGTGTTAATTTTCCTGTATACATGTATATAGGACTGATGTTCTCTTATTAATGTGAAAGGAAGGGCAATGGTAAGTACTTGACCTTCGTGGTCAGAATCCATTATGTGTAGGTGAGACAAGAAAATTATTAAATCTAGTGATGTCAATGAACACATTATCAATGGAAGTACTAGAATGTCTGCCAATTCTGGTAAGAAAAGTTACCACATTAACTGAATTAAAAGTTTTCAAAAGGACAGTTAGTTGTTTAACCCTACTAGACTCTTCTAAGTAATTGACATTCATGTCTCCACAAATAATTAAATCATTTTTGGGATTATAAATTGAATGTACAGTATTCTCTAACTGATTTATAAAATTAGAAAAGTTACCAGAGGATGACCTGTAGATAGTTAATAAATAAATTTCCTTACCCTGAAATTTAAACTTAACACCACATACCTCAGTTTCTCTGTCAATGCAATAAGCCTCCAGATTTAGACTGGAGGAGATGTATTCCATTCATTTCCAGTCCTCATGATTTTCTTGGACCTTCGTAAAGGCCCTACAACAAACCTGAGAGAAAAAAAAACAGTGGTGAAAAGTCATGTACTTGTTTCAGATCCTTCTGAATAGGAACTATGTGAGATACATATTCATCTGAACATATTTTACTATAGGTTCTTAAAACATATTTTAATTAATGCAGCTAGTACAGTTGTCATTGAGAATGCTGTACAGCACTTCTCTTCTAACTGAGTCATACATGTCCATGACAGTTCAAAATAGGTTTTCACTAGTTGATCTTGATTCTGATCCTGTCAGAATCTACACTGATCATTCCCAGTGATTTCATGTACGTATGTGGTTAACCTTCAGGGAAAGTGTTGGATAGAATTTTTAATGAAGATGATAAAGTGATACATGGTGTGATCAGATAATTTAACTATTGTATTATTTTGTCTGTGATGACTGTATTTACCCCTCTGTTCCATTCCTATGAATCGTGCCCCTCGCGGCTCGATGCAGCTAGTCAGGTATTGCACATTCATTGGTAGCATTTGAGGAAGTCCTATGGTTTTTAATTTGTTAAATGCAGCACATAATTGTTCTGGAATCATGATGATTCCATCAAATCTCCTTCCTTCATTGCCATTGTCACACAGCACTAGATGTGGGGACACCAGTCACACTATTGTGAACCACAAATTTAATGTTTCTGTTTTTGCTTGCCAGTTTGCAGACAAGGCATGAGTTTGGTGGCACTCCACCACATGTTAGACCTCGTGTCAAAACGTTTTGGCATGATTCAGTTGAGAATCACCTCATTAGCTTCATCACAGATAATGATGTATCTGTTTTCATGGAAACATTCCTTAATAATTCCACATTTTCATCCATTATGCTTATGGATGGACATCTGTCCATGGACATGTCCATCTATATGCACAATGCGTGATACATCATCATTAACTCATGTCACTCCGCCTTTTACCTGAGGAAACGAATGAGATGTTGGTTCTGATCACTGTGTCCCCTGTGAAAGCAAGTGTTACCACCTTGTAGGTTTCTGTTGCTATTCTGCCTAGCAGAGTAGTTTCATCTGAACTGCAAAACTGTCATATTGTGGCCAGTTCAGGAACTAACTAGTCACACCACATGTTTCTCAATTATTACTGCAGTCAGATATATCACCAGCACAGTACAAAGAAGATTAAAATTAAATGATGCAAACTGGAAAGCCATCTAAAGAGTAAATTGTGATAAAAGGAAGAACAAATGTACCAAATTATTCATACAGTGCATCATCCATAGAGATCATCATGTACTTTTTATTGACCAATTAGTAAGGTTTTGTGTTTCATGTTTATAGTGTATTGATGAGCATGACATGTCCTTAGTTAATTAGTAAGGTTTTGTGTTTCATGTTTATAGTGTATTGATGAGCATGACATGTCCTTAGTTAATTAGTAAGGTTTTGTGTTTCATGTTTATAGTGTATTGATGAGCATGACATGTCCTTAGTTAATTAGTAAGGTTTTGTGTTTCATGTTTATAGTGTATTGATGAGCATGACGTGTCGTCAGTTACCATGCATTCGCTAAGGTTGCAGCTTGGTATTGTATCACAAGAACCAGTGTTGTTTGACAGAACCATAGCTGAGAATATAGCATATGGAGACATTGGCCGAACAGTTCCCATGTCAGAAATTATTGAGGCTGCCAAGAAAGCCAATATACACAACTTCATAACTACTTTACCACTTGTAAGTTCTCATTTATTTTATATAAATTTTGCTGTCAGCTTCTTACTCAAGTTATGTGCACTGTGCTGATTGGTTACAAAGTGTATACATAACAAGAAATGCTGGTGGTAGGAACTCATTATACATAATTCATTTCAGATCCTTCAATCAGTGCGATGAGGCAGCATGAACTGTAACTGAATAATTATGTAGTTTTATCATCACTTTGTTAATAATTTTCTTTTGTTTCATTTGATTTGTTAAATATAACCTCTGCATTTTACATCACCATAACATTTGTAACTGTTAATACATAGGTCAGATAAAAAGTAGTGGTAACACCTCTGTAGTTTTGAAATTACTTTATTACCTTAGGTAAACACACATTCCTTCAATATAATCGCCCCCCATGTGTTCCACCTTCTGCCAAATTTGTGGAAGGTGTTGTAAACCATCAGCGCATCCACTTCTGTTGATGTCCAACAGTGACCACGCTATAGCATGAATAATCTCCTCTCTTGTGTTGTAACATGTCCCTCGCAGTGGTTCTTTCATTTTGGCAAAGAGATCATAATCGCACGGACTCATATCGGGTGAGTATGGCAGATGTTGCAGTATCTCCCATCGCCAGCGGCGAAGGAGATCCTTGACAGAATCAGCAGCATGAGCCCTTGCATTGTCATGAAGGATGATGGGGTCTGTTTCCAACAAGTGTGATCGCTTTCTCCTGAGTGCTGAACGAAGTTGATTATGCAGGAAATTGCAGTAGTAGGCAGCGTTTACTGTCTGTCATCGAGGTACAGTGTGGTGCAGTATCACTCCATCAGTGTCATATGCCACAATGAACATTGCCTTCACATTACTCTGTTTAGGGCGCACTTTCTTCGGATGAGGAGAGCCAGGATGCTCCATTCATTTGATTGTCGGTTCAAGTGCGGTTCGGATGAGCGAGCCCAAGTTTTGTCCAGAGTGACAGTCCTTCCAAGGAAGTCATCACCTTCCCTCTGGTACCGGTCCAACAAGTCCTGTCCAAATTGCATAATGTTGCCATTGTTGCACCTTGGACATTGTATGGGGTACCCAACATGCTGCAATTTTGTGGTATCCAAGAATACCATGCAGAATGTGGAGCATGGTTTTGTGACATATGCCTACCTCAGCAGGTAACTCCCATGCAGCCCTTCGATGATCAACATCCAGCAAAGAAGCAAGAAGCTGAATTGTGGGGTTGTCCTGAATGGAATCCCTCCCTTCACGGAACAATTTCACCCATCGTGCCACTGTGGGATATGGCAAAGCAGCATCACCACATGCTTGTCTCAGTCCCTGATAACAGTTTTGTGCACTACGACCTCGTGCAACTTCAATTTTTATCCAGGAGCGTTGTTCTTGTTTTGTAAACATGTTCTTAGGGTGCTTGAACTGGGCCCCTGCACTTCAAGACAATGCACAATGCAACTCAGTGAAACACAACCAGAGCCACTCATTGCACCACTTCAACTGAACTTCTGCTGTCAGCTACAGATGGCGCTAGTGCCACCTGACACACATCTTTCATGTTACAGCAGTGTTGCCACTACTTTATCCAATCCTTATATATAAAAGAAAGTTCTCTACAGAACTTTTAAGTACATTTATGATCTATCTAAATACAAAATTTCAAGTGCCTTGCTTCATGTTTCATTATTTACCACGACCCAGTCAAAAGTAAAATGTAGATTTTATATAGCCACCATTTCTCCTTTTACATTATAAAAGTATGACCTTAACAGTAATTACATACATAGTGCCAATAGGATTTTTCCTGAGATGTGAACAGACAGAAAATTTACAGCAAACTTACATTTAAGCTAATTAGACGTATTTTTAATGCTCACCCCCAAGAGTTTTTGGTCATTGTAGGATGGAAGTTCTTTTATTATTATTTTAATTTTTAAATTAGTATTTGGTATATTTCCTTTTTTTAAGCCACCCCCCCCCCTTCAAAAATCCTGCAGAGAGGCAGATACCTGGCTTGCTCCCAACCCTGCCAACACCTGTGGTCCCATATTTTTCATGGTCCTTATTAATGCCAATTTCTATGACCCTGTTTTAAGTGGTGGTGATGTCACTCCTACCATGGATGTTCACATAGCAGCAATGTAGATTCTGTTGGTGGTGGAAATCGAAAAAAGTGTAAAGGTGGTTTGGTATTCTTAACAGTTTTCATGAAAATCTGCCCATTTTTTCAAAAATTTGTACGGAAGATATACATATACATGATGATACCATAAAACTTGTATTTTTTTGTAACACAGATTAAGCAGAAAGTTCCTATCTGCAACTCCAGTAAGACAGTATCGCTATCAGTTAGTTCCACCGTCCATACCTGAAGCAGAAAGACTATAAATGTTTGTGTGCATTATCATTAACATGTTAATGGAATGTACAAAAATGTCTTAACATGAATGTTTGTAAAATTGAAAGTTTTATTCTTAACTTCTCCTCCAGGAACTATCAGGAACCTTTGTAGTGTGATGAAACATCTGTATGTCCACAGGGATATGATACTCGTCTGGGTGAGAAAGGAACACAGTTGTCTGGAGGACAGAAGCAGAGAGTTGCCATTGCAAGAGCACTGATCAGAAATCCCAGAGTACTGTTGCTTGATGAAGCAACTTCAGCACTTGATACTGAGAGTGAAAAGGTACAGTGTTAGGGATGGGTAACTGACTTCCTTCTACATTTGACACATTTTTAATAAGTTAGCACTGAGTGCACTCGACTGTCTGCACTGCCAGCACAAAGTGCATTTGTTTTATGTTTTTTTATTTTCATGTTACATTTGTATGCCATGTTAGGTGGGTCCCTTGTCACCATGGCATGGCCTGTCCTCAAGTTGCCGATGGAGTAGATGGCCTCCAGATATTGAGGGTAGCTGCATATATTATATTGAATAAGCAGTCATGGACAGGCGACAAGCGGTGGTCCTCCAACTTGGGGCTCACAACTCCTGACCACAAAAAATAAGGTGGTTACAAAACGTCACAAATGACCTTGGCCATGGCTGGATTCTTTGGATAAATGACCTAAGTTAAGGGAAAATGGACATGGAATGTCTTTGTATAACACAGGCCATCAGTAATGCAACAATTTGTTCCTTTTTCTTCCCCTTATACATAGGTAGGCTGAAAAGTAATGCACACATGCTTGTAGAGCGCGAACGAAATAACCTTCAGAAGCGTGCCAGGTGTCATGTGGAAGTAACAATCCCCCTCAATACGCATGCGCAGGTTTGAGGTTGTTGCGTTCATCCAGTGTATTTCGAGAAGCGGAAGTATGGAGACGTGTTCTAGTGCTATGTCAACGCGAGTTAAATAGCATGCTGTTATCGAATTTTTAACTGCTGAAAAAGTGACTCCTACTGAGATTCATCGTCGTTTAAAGGCTGTTTATGGTGGCGATGCTGTTGATAGGTCTACTGTAAATAGATGGGTAATAAAATTTTGTGGTTGCGAGCCTGGAAAAGCCATAATTGTTGATGAAACACGCAGTGGATGTCCGATCACTGCCACAGACAATAATTATCGCAAACTCAACGACGATTTGATTCAAAATGACCGGCGAATCACTCAAAAGCGTATCGCAAACCATATTGGAATATCCAAGGAACGTGTCTGCTTCATTATTGAACAGTTGGGATACCGTAAAATCTGTGCGCGATGGATACCATGTCGTCTCACAGACGAGAACAAACCGTCGATTGGAATGCTGCGAGCAACTTTTGCAGCACTACCGTGATGAAGGAGACGACTTTCTTTTGAATATTGTGACAAGGGACGAGTCATGGGTCCATCGTTACGACCCGGAAGAGAAAAGACAGAGCGCTGAATATCAACATCCGTCTTCTCCTCAGGCGAAAAAGTTCAAAACACAACCATCCGCCAAAAAACTTCTTTTGACTGTGTTTTGGGATGCTCACTGAGTTTATGTGACCGATTTTCTGGAACGAGGGGCAGCGATAAATTCTTCTCAGTACATACAGACTCTACAACACCTCCGGCATCGAGTTTGTCGTGTTAGAGGCAGCCTGGCACCAATAATCTTGCAACATGACAACGCTCGTCCACACACCTCACGTGCATCTGAAGAGGCTCTGCGAAACCTGAAGTTTGAACCGATTCCACACCCTCCTTATTTCCCCAATCTTGCGCCTTGCGATTTTTATTTTTTTCCTCTACTCAAGAGAGACCTCAATGGTAATCATTACATCTCGGACGATGAGGTGAAGGCAGCTGTCAAGTCCTGGATTCGAGAAAAGTCGGAAGAATTTTTCAGTGATGGAATGAAAAAACTTGTTACACGTTGGGAGAAATGTGTTAGCCTTAACGGCGACTATGTTGAAAAATAAATATACGAGTATGCTTTTGAAACTTAAGAATTGTACTTTAATGTACTTTTTGCCCGATCTTGCTATTTGTTTTTGTTTGTGCTCTACAAGCATGTGTGCATTACTTTTCAGCTTACCCACATACTTCAACACAACATGTGTCAGCCTTAAATGGCCATCTTCAGGTGTCTTGGTATTGTCGCGTGTTGCCTATGTGACACGACAAATAAATTCACATGGGTCTCGGATTTGCCAAATATGTTTATTGGCCAATCTCTTCTACACTTACATGTACAATTATCATCCACTTATAATGTCATCAGACGTTTCTTACAACACTGTTATAGTTACTTCTTGCACCGATAATCTCGGTGAAGTCTTCTGTTCCATTTGTCAGATGCGAGCTTGCTTCTGCTCTCATCGGAGCTGCACTGAGAACTCTAAACTCAAAACCTGACTTGTCTCATCGAAGCTGGACTTTTATAACCTCGACGCAGACTCGGTAGAAGATACCATGCCGAAAGGTTCAGTCCGCTCACTGCTATTGAAAAGTTGCTTCAACAATTCATGTGTAATGGTGGAAACTCCTCTGTTAGGAATTGCTAGCGTTCTACTTCCTAGCTGCTATCATGGGAACGTTGGTCGTTGCCTAGAAAATCAACTCTGATCTCAGCCATTCATAGCCACTGTAGTGGAAATGTTGGCCATTGCCTAGGAAATCAACTCTGATCTCCTCAACCATTCTGGCTTTCTGGTGGCATGCCACATTGCTTGCTTCTTAAGTTTGTTCATCCTGAACAGCCTAACGGTGTTTCCTTTTCCTTCATTTCCGAGGATTCCTGCTAGCAACAACTGCATTCGGTCTTGCCGTTCTTCACATGTGTTCACTGTGTTCATTCTACCACATCCGCCCCTTCCTTCAGGGGTGCTCGTCCCGAGCCACTCCATGGCATTGTTCAGTCAGCTCAGTTTCATCCAACGTTTTCTCTCACACTTTCACTCTCACTGGGGAGGCCGGTGCTTCTACATTACCGGCTCCTCCTCTATGCGCTGTTTCATTCTTTCTTTCACTTTGGCGGCGGTCGACCCCTCCACAAGGTCCAATTCTTGTGTTTTGTGATGGGACAGGAGATTCAGTAATTCGCTTCACAGTCTCATGTCCGGTCATCTTTCTGTAGGTCTCAATCCTTGTTCCTCTGTAACATTGCTGTTTCGCCCATTGTCCCTTCACGAGCATCCACCCTTTCAACGGAGTTTTCCTTGGGCTGTGCCACTTTCGCACTGCAGGCTGTCCTTCTTCAGGCAACAGCCAGTCTTTCCCGGAAAATATCTCCCTCGTCGTGCCCCTGCTGCACAATGGGACACCTTCCTGCCTTTTTGCTTTATCTGCCATGCCACTTTCACACGGCAGTTCGTCCCTCTGTGGGACCCTATGCCTCTTCATCGGTCCTCTGACCAGCATTATTTCGGTGTCTTCTATGGGGGCCTCTTCTTTTTGTGCCACCTCAGGATTCCTGTCCACTGAGGTCAGCTTTTTTCCAGATGTGCTTCTGTCGTTTCTCAGCAGGCCATCATCCTTCATCTCCTTTGGTTTCAATTTTGGCCATCACCTCCTTGTGGCTGGTGTCCATCCTTTTGTCTCATGTGGCGGCCATCTCTTCTCACCAGGCTTTCCACTCATCTCGGTCAGCCTTCCATTCCACTCTCATTTCTTCATGCATGGCCAGCAGGAGTTCCATCATTTGTTGGGACTCCATTTTTATTGTAGCCCTTGGTCCAATAATTTTTTTCCCAGAATCTGAGCCATACCTCTTCTAACACCACTTGTTGCGTGGTGTTTTTATAACACAACAAGAAAATTCACGCAGGTCTCAAATTTGGCTAATATGTTCATTGGCCACTTCAGGTTCTCCTCATCGTCCAGAGGTTTTCTCGTTCTCTGTCTTTCTCTCTGCTACACTGCATTAACCTTTATGAGCCGAAAGACACCGTATGGGGACCTTTAAATTATGCTGAGATGGCCGAAGGGCACCGTATGGTGATTCGCAGGCTGCGCGTGCACACAGTGTTTTAAAATCTAATTTTAAGATAGAAATTCTTGTTCTACTTACATTATTTTTGGACACCAGCCTTATAAGTAGACTGTCTTCCCTCCTGCATCATCTAACTGAATGTTGCATGTCACTGAATGCAGAGCCCGTCTTTTGCAATTCATGCACTTTGTCCGTAATTAACTCTGTTTTTCACGCGAAGCGCACACACGCAATGTTAGTCTCATATTAGCAGGAAGTAAGCCAGTGATGGTGAGTAGTGTCCTCTATTCATAACGCTTATACAACATTGCAATTTCAACTATGCACCATGGCCCCTTTTCACATTGAAGAAGTCGAAATTGAGAGGCTGCTCGTAAATCACACCATTCAGAATGCGTTACAGTTTATTCTGAAGGGACCTGGAAGCAAGTGGAATGAGGTGATATTCCAAGAACTGCCTCTGTGTGGATAGTCCGACATACGTGAATAAACAGAGTTTCATAAGGCAATGTAGGATAAGAACTCGCCCACACTCGGGTATACAGGAAGCCTACGTGACAGGAGAATGTGCAGTACGTAAACATCTTCTCCTATTGCCAGATAAAAAACACAGACAGTGCGTCAGCACCATGCATTTATACTGCAGAAGCTTTATGCATTTTTGTGGACAGACGCTCAAAATTGGGGAAAAAATTTTTTTGGAATCAGTGTAACAATTTTTGCAGATTCTAAAATCTGTAAATTACAATATCTGATTCTATATAATTTCTAGATAAAAGTAGCGTTTATTTCGTTCGTTTATCACAAAAATTGTAGAAATCACAGCATTTTGAGTAACATGATTACAAGCGGGCATTTAAATTAAGTCCGTCCCACTGCCACTACCGAAATTTAAATGGCCCGTCCCCTAATCGTTAATATGCGCTAATATCACACGATGTAGTCAACTTTTTATAATAAACTAAAATCCATTAAAATTTTCTATTATAATATTCATTACTTTGGTGAAATTCTATTCCACCTCACAAGGGGTGTCATCCATTTGTTTAGAACTGTGTGTTTCTCTCCATGTGTTGTTGCAGCAGCTTGTTTTTATGTTCATTAGCCCATTGTTCTATTAACGTCTGCAATCTCTAATCTACAAAATGTCACATATTAATATTGTTTTTTTGATTGTTGTTATTAATGTTATGTTGGTTTACTTTATACTCACATGCCCCTTGCTTGTGTGTTGTTCCCTCTAGCAGCATGTAGTGTTGTCTTCACTAGTGCAGACGTGGTATG